GCATGGATTCAAGAAACCGATGAAACGGAAAATATTCTTTAAATAAATGTTTTTTTTTAATTAAAATATATAACATATAACATCACAAAGGAAGCCATTTACACTAAAACAATCATGACCATTTCCCCCGTAAGATTTTCAAACATATCACTTATTCCAAATCAAACAAACAATTAGCACTAGACAACACTATATAGAAGAAAATCAACAGCAATCAAAGGAAAAAAAGAGCATGTGCACTTTGTTGTTGACCTAGACTTGAATCCTCAATCGGATATGTAATTTCTAGGATTTTCTATTTTCTTTCTTTGCAACAATCAAACCTAAACGAACATTACTACAAAGATTAAATTTAGAGTGATAAGGACGAGATTGGCTATGGGTCCTTGTGTTGTTGTTGGGTGGGCTTCTATTCTAGGGATTTCACCCCTTAAATCGTGAAATGGGACTAGGGATTGACCGTTGGGTGGGCTGGTATTAACGACAAAGAAAGGCTAAAAGGAAATCTACAACACTGAAGGAGAGAAGAAGAAGATCAAGATCAAAGTAATGAGGACAAGAATGGTTGTGAAAATTCTAGGGATTTCGACCCCCAATTCGTGGAATGGGACTAGGGATTGCTTGGGAAAGTTCTAAGGATTGGGTGGGTTGTTGTTGGGCAAAGAAGAAGAAGATCTTGCACAAAGAAAGGCTAGCTGTTAGGTAGAGAAGATGAAGATTTTGCACGGATAGAGGCTAGCCATAGGGCAGAGAAGAAAAAGATCTTGCACAGAGAAGATGTTGGCTATTGAGTGAAGAAGAAGAAGATCTTGCACAAAGAGAGGTCGACTATTAGGCAGAGAAGTTCCAAGGATTGGGTGGGCTGTTGTTGGGTGGAGAAGAAGATCTTGTACAGAGAGAGGCAAACTAAAAATTCTAGGGATTTCACCCCCAAATCATGGAATGGGAAAGAAGAAGAGAGATACGAGAAAAACGAGTCATGTGGGATCATAACATGCCACGTTGAACAATGTTTTTATTATCAGCGTTATGAGTCTAGTTGGCATGCCACATATTGAGGGGTGTAACAGATTACAATGGATGTCATGTGAGAATAAACAGATTATTAAGATTCTATCCAATTGGGCCCTTATTTAAGAGTTGCATAAGTTTGAGACATTGATTGAGTACAATAAACCTTGAGGACCTCAATTGAAAATTTAGTAAAAGCTGGGGTCTTTTCCAATGCTTAAGCCTCGGAAATATCTAAAAGGATGAATGTCAATGAGTTTCGAATTTTTTAAGGAAGAAGGTGACTAAGGGACACGTACTTGCCGGGCTATTGAATTCAAGAGAATTGGTCCCCCTCGGCAACCAAAAAAAAAAAGGCAGAGTTTGACTGCAAACTCCAACGGGAAGGCATCATCCATCCAATCCGCCAGATTTGAGGGCAGAAGGTACAATTCATTCCCTCTATTTTGATTTTGTGGTTGCAAATCAACCCTTCTACTTACCAAAACTATCAAATTAGCCCTTCTATTAATGATGATGTCACTTTTCCATGACTATCATCACCGCCCCGTTAAACTTTGCTTATGTTGTGCTGATTGGGCATGACATGGCAATTTTTTTACAATATGGCACCCATAATTTGTACAGTATTATTTGAATACAAATTTTAAAAATAAAACTATAAGTCCTAGCATATATTGTATTTAATTTTTTAGAGCATATAATTAAGAATTTTTTTAATCTATATCTTAAGAATACATGTTAAAATGTAATAAATATATATTTTTATAATAAATTTATATTAAAAAATAAAAATTAACTTTCAATTTATCAACCATTCAATTAAATTTATCCACGTGACAATTATATTAAGATTAATATTAACTTTTACATTTTTTATACAAAATTATAATAAAAAAGTAAACTTAGAACACATGCTAGAAAAACCTTATAATTAATTATAAAATCAAAATTATTAAATTTTAGGGTTTAAATTTTAAAATGGTTTGTCTAACATGTGTTATAAACTTTAAGGATAAATGTTAAACGTTTAATAAATACATATTTTTACAATTAATTTATATAAAACTATAAAAAATAATATTTATTTTATCACTATAACCACATGTAAAATTTTAATTGGTCAATTGATTATACTAAAATCAACATTTATATTTTCTATACAACTTAATTACAAAAAATATAATTATTGCACTTTTAATATATAAGGATTGGTTAGAAAAACTAATTTTAAAATTAAGGATTTCCTTAACATGTGTTTTAAGTGCATAAATTAAATTATATATTATATTTTTTTATCATAATTCATAAATTTTATGGTAAAATAGTAATTTATTTTAATTTAATAACTACCCCACTAACATCATCTTATATTAAGTTTAATTTTAATTTTTAAAGTTGACATTAAAGTGGCCTCCATGTCAACAAGGAAAGGAGAAAGATGGTACAAAATTGTCAAATAAGTTGCCACATCACGCTCAGTTAGTTGTGCCACATAAGCGCAGTTTAACGAGGCAATAGCAATGGTCATGGAAAAGTGATGTCATCATTAACAGTAGGACTAATATGATGGTTTTGGTAAGTAGGAGGGTTGATTTGCACTACTTCTAAGTAAAGGGGCTGACATGCCTCAACAATCAAAGTAGAAGGGCTGAATTGCACCTTATGCCCCCAAGTCACCCGCCCTCTCTCTTTATCTTCGTTTCCACTCGCTTCTCTCCTCCCCACTACCTCTCCCTACAGGGTACAGAGAACAACAGACGCTGGTTTCTTTCTGGGTCTCATATTTGGAAATCTTCTTAATAGATACATTTTCAGTTGAGCGCAGCCAAATTTCTCTAACAGATTTTCTGGACATCTCTCTGTTTTCTTGATACTACATCACATTATCATCATCATCTCTGAACGAACGCACGCACGCACTTACGCACCCACCGCAGGTTCCAATCACTTTCCCTCTCCTTCCTCTGTTCCAACTGTTGTCATTTCCTTCTGATTTTCGGTTTTTGTTAGAATTCCAGTTTTGTTTCTTACATCTTTCATACTGGTTTCCACTCGTACCATTAATTTTTTTTTTACTCTTGAGATTTTCGGCTTAAACTTAGATTAGATCTAAAAATAAAGTGAACACGGACAGATTACAGGTACATACCTGTATGCTCTGCTAGTGCTTGGGGGTCAGGGAGAATCCCATTCTTTCTGTGCAAATGCCGAACATACATAGCAGGTCAATTCCTTGACAAAATCTCAACCCCAAGACACAAGAAAATTGAAAAAAAAAAAAAAAATGAAGAGATTATGGAGGGTACAAGTGCTGCAACACGGCATCTTTACTTTGTTTCTGCTGCTCCTAGTCCTCACTTGGACACAAGCCAATGATGATGCGCTCATGTTGATGGCTTTCAAGAAATTCTCTGTTACCTCAGATCCTCATGCTGTCTTGGTTAACTGGACTGATACTTCTTCCAGCCCCTGTTCCTGGTATGGAGTCACTTGCTCTCTTGATGGCCGTGTTTCCACTCTCGACCTCAGCTATGCAGGTCTTGTTGGGAGCCTGCACCTCCCTAATCTCACCGCCATGTCCGCCCTCGTCCGTTTCTATTTGCAAGGGAATTCCTTTTCTGCGGGGGATCTCTCTGCCTCATCCTCCTGCATGCTCGACACCCTTGACTTGTCCTCCAATAACTTCTCCGACCCCCTCCCGGGCCAAGGGCAATCCTTCTTCTCTTCTTGCGATCGTCTGGCTTATGTTAATATGTCTCGCAATTCAATTCCTGGGGCTGGGGGTAGGATA